GGCGAACCCGTATGCCACAGGTGAGTACACACACCTGTACATTAGGGGGTGAGTACACACACCTGTACTCTGAGGGGTTAGGGCACGCACCTGGACTACCTCCCCAGACCTCCCATGTGCAATGCCAGCCCTGTCTGTATAGTAATGAGATGCTTAAACATCCAAATTATATTCAATTGACTGTACGTCTCGTCTGCCCGTGTCTGCCCGTGTGTGTGTATCTTTGCCTCTCTGTCTGCCTATCTCTTTGCCTGCCTGTATATCTGCCTGTGTTTCTCTCTGCATGCCGACCTGTCCCTCTACCTGAATGTCTGCCTCTCTGCCTGTCTCTCCGCCCATTTGCCTGCCCCCCTCTCTCTCTCTCTGCCTGTCTGCCCACATTCCCCCCCTCTGTCTGCGTGTGTCTGCCTACCTGCCTGCCTACCTGCCTGCCTGTCCCATATCCTTGCTGCGCAGAAGCAGTCACGGCCGGGACGCCCCGAGACGCCCGCACGGAGGCCCCGGACGTGGTCCCTCCGCCGGCCACGGAGGGTGCCGCCATCTGCGCGGCCTCGGAGGGAGGCGACAGGGGGCCGGCGGGCCGCGGGGTGCGCTTCCACCAGGACGAGGTGGCCCCTGGCGGTGTCGCGGCAGCGGCGGCGACGCCGGGCCCTGGAAGGGAACGCAAGAGGCGCGGAGAGGCGGCCTCGGCGTTCTTCAGCGTCAGCGAGGGCACGCACTGAGCATCGCGGTGCTGGGCCCACAACCGCAAGGGAGCGGGGAGACGATGGGGAGGTGGAGGGAAATCGCATCGAGTGAACAGCCGCCAGGTCGTCGTTGGCGTCGTCTTCTTGTTCATCGTCTTCACGATCATCGTTAACGTGATGACCATCCTGAGCTCAGTCATCGTCGCGATCGTCATTGTTGTCGCCATCATCATGGTTACAACATCATCATCTTTAATTGCTCCATCTGCTTCTTGGCGTCTCTCTCTGCACGAGGGCAGGTCCCTGACTCTGTCCCCCACCATTCCGTGCCACCCCACCTCCTCACCCCACCTCCTCACCCCACCTCCTCACCCCGCCGTCCCCACGCCGCCCTGTGCCCTCCTCACTCGAGCCCTCCACCCCGGGGGCCGAGCGATGGAGATGACCTCCCATCCCCCTCTGCCTGCCCTCAGCAGGGTTTTGTTTTTAGGGTGCCACACTCGTGATCGGTGCATTTTTTAAAGAATAATAACGCATTATTTTTGAGGATCGGTGTGAATTAAATGCAGATCACGGTGCAAAGACAAAGATCCCCTGTGTAGCCTTTAACAGACTGTTAGGGCAAGTGCTGTTAACGAATAGCACCTATGAAGGATGGCACGGCACACGAGGGGGTGGGTGGCCAGCACCACGCCCGACCGCCTTTGTCTCCCCAGTGGCGATGTTTACACAACGCCCCAGGTACTCATTTGAGCCCGAGTCGGCCTAGGGGAGTCCCAGGACCGGTTCAGATAATATAATCCGTCACCGGTGTTGGCCGCGAGCGGGAATCGAACCCGGGTCGCCGGGTTCGTAGAGCAGCGTAGCGCTAACCGCTGCACCACCGCTCCCCACGATGCAAATCACAGCCACGTTGTGACCATTACGCGAACCGGAGGAATGAGGTCGAACGTGACGCAGTGGTTCCTAGCCCGCTTGGTGTGGGCACTGCTGGTGCAATAAATGAATTGAGGCCCCCCTGTCCCAATTCCCGATGCCCGTCTCTTCGTGGCCCGGAGCCTGCATGACACCTTCAAGCCTAAATTTCGATTTAAAGCTTTCGTGACTGCAGGGATTCATCTTCTTGGTTCTTTTGGTAAAGTCACGTAGAAGGGAAGTAATACAATAATAAAAATAAAACATAATAAAATAATTCTTACTTCCCTTCTACGTGACTTTCGGCCACAACGCAAGCAGCCGTCTGCTTGCGTTGTGGCCGAAACGTCGTGAGAATAATTTTATTATGTTTTATTTTTATTCTTTTATTACTTCCCTTCTACGTGACCTTCAAGCCCCGCTGCAGTTGCACCGCCTGCACACCCGATAGCTAAGCCACTGATGCGTCCCGAGATCACGATCACGGTAATGGATCGGGTGGGGCGAGGGGGGGGGTTTGTGAGCCGTTGTGCGCCCTGATGACTCGTCGGTAGTTCTAGACGCATGGACGCGTTCCTGAATCAAATCACAAAGTGCCGAATGAAAAGGCAGAAACATCGCGAAACATCCGGGCAGCTGTATAAGCGGTGGTAGTTTTGAAATTACTGACGAGAAATATTCGGCAACGGAAGTGTTTGTTTGAAAGAATTTAAATCACCAATGACTAAGTGGACGAAAATCTTCAAGGGTGACGATGACTAGAACTCATCAATACCATCATCATCACCAATGCCATCATCGCCACCACCACCATTACCACCACCACGATCACCATCACTACCACAATCATCACCGTCATCAACATCGCCACCATTCACCATGATAATGATCACCACCATCATCTACCCACCAAACACCAAAGCACGACCGATTGTGACGAAACAAAATTAACTCGTCCAAATGAAGACGCAGACTAAGATCACGTTATCAGAGACTCGAAGTGCATTAAGGATGACCAAAAATAGTAGTAAACTACAAATGTGAATAAAACATTCACTGAGTTCACTGATTGGCTGACATGATAAATATTTGTAGGAGGTCAATGCAACGCCCCTCACACCGACACCGAATAACCAAGAGCGTCCGACTAAACGCGTGACCGGTTTCGTCGACGAGACCGAGAGAACGACTCCACGAAACCCGCAGACGACTCACGACTCCACCAAACCTCTGTCGGATGTCGTAGACCAGACCGGGAGATTCTAGATTTGAAGTTTTAGTGACTGCAAGGATTCATACTCTTTGTTTTTTTTCGGTAAAGTCACGTAGGTAAGAAATGAAAATAAATTCAACCACGACGTTTCGGGCGCAACACAAGCGTCCTTCTTCAGGTAGGGACAACTTAGCCAAAGTTAAAATAAATTTAATTTTCAAAAATAAAATAAAAATTCGCTAAGTTGTCCCCACCTGAAGAAGGACGCTTGTGTTGCGCCCGAAACGTCGTGATTTAATTTATTTTCATTTTTTACCTACGTGACTTTACCGAAAAAACCAAAGAGTACAGATCGGGAGACTATAATCCAGGGTGTGACTTTGTTAAAATTTCTAGTTGGGGGGGGGGGTGGGGGACGTGGTGGAGGGGTGAAGTTATTTGAACAATTCCAAATATGAGAGTTTGTCTTCCGTGGGAAGAAACCGGAGCACCTCCGAAAGAAACCCCCAGTGCGCATAGGGCGGCGGACGCTCAAACCTCCGCCGCACAGATGGATACACCAATCCATTGCTACACCTACCATCTCCTGGCCACCTCACAGGCAAACCACAGCCTCGCAATGAAGAACCACTGGATTAAATTGTTCACTAGTGCTCAACGCTCGCATTGTGAATGCAAAATCGTTTTGATGGAGAGGTCCTGGGGATATAAAAAAAAGCTATTCTAGGAAATGAACCCCTCCAAGCCCTCTGCCCACCACCTGCCATAAATCTCACTCTGACTCAAGTCACCTACAGCTAAATCGACAGTGTCCTTATACAGCTGCCTTGCGTATGGAACTATTAAAATGTGCGTTAAACATGCGTCCGTGAATTGATTAGTGATTACAATAGAATGAATCGATGATTTTCTTTAAAAAATATGTCTATTGATTTGAGTTTTACTTTGCTGTTAATCGTTGTTTTGAAATGTGGTGGACTCTTGTGCGTAGAAGTCTACCGCGAAAGTAAAGTTCACCAACACGTGTGGCTCTGCATGGCGGTGGCGTGGATGTATAGACCAAAGGAATTATAATAATCCGTGCGTTTGGTATTTCCCCCATTATCGTTGCAAATAATATTACTGTATTAGTAAGGCGCTGTTGCAGAGACCGGTATAGTCTTCCACCAAAAGGGGTGCCGATGTTGATACCATGTGCTTTTTCGATTTAAAGCTTTCGTGACTGCAGGGATTCATTTTATTGGTTCTTTCGGTAAAGTCACGTGACTTTACCGAAAGAACCAAGAAGATGAAACCATGTGCTTTTATTCCCACTTCATTAATTCGGGCGGTGACGTCTCCAAACGTTGGCTAACGTGGACACCGTGACACCGGCGCACGTGGCCTACCACTCTGCATAACGTCACGGGATCTTTAATGTATAGCGTGGTACAGGCATCATGTAATTATGGCTGACACACACACAAGGTTTTAACCAGGGCGAGGCGATGTGTGCACGTTATGTGGCCAGGGGCTGTGTGGGGAGCAGTAACGCAGGGCCGTCCATAGAGGGGGTGCGAGGTCCATGGAAAACCACAATGTGTAATACGTCTGACAATGACGTTGAAGCACGGGACCCCCAAAGCGCGGGGCCCTAGGCGGTCGCCCCTATTCGTCATACCGTAGGGGCGGCTCTGGTGGTAATGTAGCAGTGAGCACGCTGTGCTATGAACCCAGCGACCCGAGTTTGATTTCCACTCATGGCCAACGCCAGTGACAATTATCTCGAACCGCTTCTGGGCTTCCCCTATGTCCACTCGGCCTCAAATGAGTACCTGGTACGGTGTGTCAACATCACCACTGGGGAGACCAAGGCAGTCGGGCGTGGTGCTGGCCACCCACGCCCTCGTGTACCGTGACGGCTTTCATAGGTGCTGCCTCGCTCACAGCACTTGCTCCCCAAACAAATGTTAAGGCTTTTAGGGGGTTCTTTAGCTTTGTCGGCCGTGTGAAATTAATTTGGGGGCCGGGTACAACTCACCATGTCGTAGATTCTCCACCTCGGAGTGTAATGGATGAGATAAAACACCAAGTACATCTCGAGACTGTTGGACACACTCGTAATCGGACCTTGAAATCGCCAAGGCACACGCGAGGTGGCGCTGGATTGAAAACGTTTGCGTAGCAAGCAATGGCACCCATTCGACTACTAATATGTGTATTTTATTCCTAAAGCAAATGGAAACCCTTCATACGTTATCAAACCAAGCTGCACAAGTAAAAAATACAGCAAACATAACTGAACGCGCTAAGCAACAACAAAAAGCATATTCGTCACAAATTAAAACGTAAGTGATTAAATACTTGACTAAGTCAAAAAGTCCACGTGTGTGGACACTTAAACAAGGAAAGTGGAATGCTCAACTCTGTTGATGGCCTTTAGTCAAAAATTTAAATTCCACATTCTCATGCTAGGGAGCAGTCACTGCATAGGACATCCATTGATACTTTTGATTGGCCGCAGAGGGATGATAATGAATTCCGAATCGAGATGTGAGCGCAAACATTTGTGATTGCGAGGAAGATGTTCTAACCACTGTGCAACACGGCAGAATTGATGTCATGTCTGAGTTTGCTTGTGGGCTTCAATTACCGTGCCCAACAAACACCTGATCTTTCGATTTAAAGCTTTTGCGACTGCAGGGATTCATCTTCCCGGTTCTTTCGGTAAAGTCACGTCGAAGGGAAGTAATAAAACAATAAAAATTAAACACAATAAAATAACGTCATGAGAATTATTTTATTGTTTTATTTTTATTGTTTTATTACTTCCCTTCTACGTGACTTTACCGAAAGAACCAGGAAGATAAACACCTGATCAGCAAGCCCACCATCACACTGCCCAACTTCCATCACACACAGCTCATCAGCGAGCCCACCATCTCTCTGGCCAGATTCCACCACAGACATGTAATCAGCGAGCCCACTGTCACTGTCCAGCTTCCACCACAAACAGCTCATCAGCGAGCCCACCACTACACTGTCCGGCTTCCATTTTCCACGGAAACAATGCACAGCGTTTAACATGATCGGCGCAAACCATGGAAGAGGCGATGAGCACGTGAGATGCACAGGTGGGAAATAAAAGACACCGCTGTGTGCGACTGTAGCTATAAACACAAAACTAAACTATAAACTTTTTTATTTTACCAGGTAAGGCCCCACTGAGCTGTGTAGCTCTTTTACGGAAGCGACCTGGCTATCACAAACGATAGCTCAACGAAGTGGGTTCATCATCATCACGTGGAAATTGATAGCAGTCAAATACTCGAAACGCGTCTTGTCGATTCTAAATGTGGAGGGAAAAACCGGGGGACTCGGGAGTCAAATCCACGGGAAGAGAGACACGCAAACTCCAAATATACAGCAGCAGGCATCAGGGTCGGGATTGAACCCACGACCTCCTGTATACCCAGCGAGGTAGTTAACATCTCGCCACTGTGGCGCCCCAAAAACTATGCACCGCATAACTCCGCTCCGTCCCAAATGTAAATCAAAGGTGATGCATAAAAAAATTCACCAACTCTCTGACAAAGAAACTGAATGGCTAAATCACTTCGGACTGAATCTGACATTGGCCGTACGAAAATAGAAGATACTTTGCTCAATATTCAAACTCATTGTTAGGGCTTATTGAGACTGGCTGTACAGTTGAATGAAAAAAAAAACACATCGAACCTCAATTGCAATGAACACATTTTGATTAAATACGTCAAAATGCTCGCGGAAAAATGATCCCAAGTGTTCACTTCGCCAGCAATTGTGGACGTGAACCCGCTACGCTCGGGGAATTTCCCAAACGTGTCCACGTCTCTCGCTACATCGCACCTTTGCATATGCACATCACCACACCGCCTTAGTTGGAAGTCATTCGGAATTCACAGTTTCATTATAAACACACACGCATATATATATCCTTTTTGATTTTATCACCTGTACAAACTGCGCTGCTATGGGTATAAATTTACGAGCTAAAGAAATGCCATCATCGATAACTCCTGCAATGATTCCCGAGTCGCGTAAAGAAGAACGGTTGAGCGGAAGTCCAAATCCTGACGGGCAACTTGAGCCAAACCCGATACAGTGCTCCGTCACGCTCTGAAATAAAGTTCACCTTTAAAGTTGAGTTTGTTTAACCAGGTGAGATCTCAAGAGACCAGGAAGTCTCATGCACAAGTCACCTGGGTTACTAAATTCGCTTGGTGTGTATGTACGTTGAACTTCTTTCCCACCCTACGTAGCCAACCGTGTTAACCGGAGTCATCCGCCAAATTTATAGAAAGTTTTTTCCCACCAAAATTGTGCCCGGCTGAATTTCAGTGAAGAATATGACACGTGACGGGTTATCCGAGATATCCAACTACACAAGAGTGACATTGTGGATTCATCGCGGGTGTTTGTGACACTAACAGCGGCGGCCTAAGCACCAAACAACATGAAAGAAACTGAACACATTCGTCAAGAAGGGCCATTGCCCCGAAATGCCACCTGTTCTATATATTTTTTCCTTTTCAGGCCACAGTGGTGTACGTAACGTATGTTGAACTTATATTGGTAGGAACCTCCTGGTTACACCAGCCCACAGGGGATTATTGTGTCCGTCCGTCGTGCACCCAAAAATGGGAGGGGTGGGGCTGGGTGGGAGAGGGGCTGGTCACCCCGTGGTGCCCTTATAAAACTCAACGTTTAACCTACTCACACCGGCTTGTGCCCGCCTTCACAGTCGGGCATATTTGCGCAATACACCACGCCGCCGTTGACCCTGCAGGCCATTGACCGAGCAACCCAACGTTCCTACCAGCTCCCTCCGCAGGAATGTGTTTTCGCGCCGTACGTAGCCAACCGTGCTCATCGGAGGTGTTATCGACGAATGTGTTAAGTTTTGTTTTACACGTAGGTTGCTTTCCAGACCAATATCCATAATAAAGGTTTTTTTGGGTTAGATTGCGTAAATATAAATATGTCCTTAACCCACCACCGCCCGACACAGCCGATTAGAAAGGTCTGTCAAGTAAGCAAAACGTGTGAATTAGTTGCTAGTTCAGCACACCGGTGTGTTGCAGAGTAAACCCACAACATTTACAATTTGAGTACGACGTTTTGCTGGTGTTTACAAGAACCAGCTTCATCAGGCGATTTGCAAGAATTGTGTAATCAAGGTTGCTGCTCCGAGCCAAACCAAGCAAATAAGTGGCACTGGCTCAGCCTCTCTGCCACAGCCATTACGAACCATTCTAAGGCTCATTGCTCTGATATTGTGAAGCTACTGAGGACCACTTGCTCCAAGCGCTGGCATTGTCTGTGGCATTGCCATTATGAGTGTCACACACAGCCACCTGATTGTAAATTGTCTCAACTCACTACACATGATGGCCGTGTTTAATCACAGGTGCCTGGAGCCTGGATTCAAACCCAGGATCCAATGAAATGCAATCTTTGACAGAGCCATTATAAGCCACCCAAGAGACAACCACCACAGGGCGCGAACCCACAATCGCAGTTGTGCTCGCTTCGTAAGTCTGACATGACCATTATGCGTGTCCTGAGGCAGACACACAACCCCTAGAGCTTGAATCCAGCATCTCAGCGAGTGCTGGCAGTATTTGGCAGATCTGTTGATCGCATTATTCGTGGGAAAACCCCAAAACCGACCATGATTTGAACCCAGGCTCTCAACGACTCCACGGCTCCCGACTCGGCCACTGTCAACTCCCCGAGCGATGCAGCCACCGCCTATAATTCTACTGCCAATCTGGCCCGGGCACTCACATGGTGCGCAGGTTCCGGCCTACCACATTGACCTCGACGAGCCTGAAGGCCCTCACGGTGCGCGCCAGCATGTCCACAGCCTCGCCGGCCAGGGCCAGAAGGGGCCGCGCGGCCTCCGCCAAAGCCAGCAGGAGGCTGCGAGTGAAGGCGGCCGTGGGCCTCAGCAGGCCGTTGAAGGACACGGTGAGCGCGGGGCGGAGGAGGTAGTCGCTGGCGGCGCCGGCCAGCCCCACGAGCAGCGTACGCGCCAGCCGGCCCGCGAACTCGGCCAGCTCCACCACGAAGACGGCCACCGTGGCCACGAGCAGCCACAGAGCGCCGAAGAGCTCGCGGTAAAAGCGGCGCACCGTCACCTCCCAGCTGAGGAACGCACGCACACACACACGCGCGCGCACACAAGTACGCATGCATCAACGCATGCGCACGCTTGCACATACGCATTCGCACACGCATGCAGGCAGACATACACACGGGTGCAGGCACAAACGCACAAACACATGCAGGCACAGACGTATGTACATAAGCATACACGCGACTGCATTGGTACTTTTCGATTTAAAGCTTTTGTGACTGCAGGGATTCATCTTATTGGTTCTTTCGGTAAAGTCACTTTAGAAGGGAAATAATAAAATAATAAAAATAAAACATGATAAAATAATTATCACGACGTTTCGGCCACAACGCAAGCAGCCATCTGTTCTTCACCTGAGGACGGCTGCTTGCGTTGTGGCCGAAACGTCGTGAGAATTATTTTATTATGTTTTATTTTTATTATTTTATTATTTCCCTTCTACGTGACTTTACCGAAAGAACCAATAAGATGCATTGGTACTGTGTAGATTGTATTGTACTGCGTCGACTGCATTACACTTTGTTGATTGTATTGTACTGCGTAGATAATAGTCCACTGTGTGGACTATATGGTATTGTGTCGATTGTAATGTACTGTGTAGATTGTGTTTTATCCTTTGTTGATAGCACTGTGGGATCAATGTGGGGACCTCTCAACCGACCGGTCGGCGAGCTGCATCATGTAGGCGTCCTCCTCCACCACCACGGGGGGCCTGGATGACCTGAGGGGTCCTTGCTGGTAGCTGTACATGTACCTGGAGTGCCAAAACACACAAAAAGACAAAGATCCCCCATATAGCCTGAACAGACTGTTGGGGCAAGTGCTGTTCACGAGCACCTATGAAGGCCGGCACGGCATACGAGGGGGTGGGTGGCCAGCACCACGCCCAACTGCCTTTGTATCCCTAGTGGAGATGATTACGCGCCGCACTAGGTACTCATTTGAGTCTGAGTCAACCTAGGAAAGGCCGAGGACCGGTTCAGATAATCGTCACTGGTGTTGGTGGCTGTGAGCGGGAATCGAACTCGGGTGGCTGGGTTCATAGTTCAGGGCGCTAACCACTACACTACTGCTCCCCACGCAAAAATACATACACACAAATAAAGAATAATCTGCGCTTCTCACATGTCCTGCTATAGAGTTGTTCATTGCATGGCAGTAACACTTCTTTTCTTTGGGAACATGCAATCATCGGTCATCAGGCTGAGATTGTCAAATTGCTAAACTTGAAACTCTAGCATCAGCAAAGGCAGCTGAAACCTGCATTTGAACTCAGGATGTCAGTGGTGCCAGCTCCGTGATCTGACACAGTATGACAGTATTTTTCTACTGTGCAACTGAGCCGTGCCTGGGCCAGGCCAAGCCAGCTCGGCGTGGCTCAGAAGGTGCCAGGGTGTTTTTCCACTGCAAAAGCAAAGACAATCCGTGCTGCCGACGTCACATGCAAAAACGAGTCGAGACGCACGTATATGGTGCGGTGGCAGTGTCCTGACTGACGTCACTTGCAATAGACGAGTCACGAACCCCACCCCTGGCCCTGCTTGGCCCTGAGCCAGACACAGATGTCTTGTGAGACCAGTGTATCTCAGTTTGGTTCATGGTTGGCACGGGAAATAGCCGGTGGAAAAACCACAAGCATCGTGAGGGCGCCCAGTGTTGACTCGGCTAAGATGTGCCAATGAGAAAGGGGTATTTGAGACCCCGGAGTTACCCGGTGACCTCCCCTCTTGTCTCCTCTGTGCCTCCGAGGACACTGCAAGGCTCGCTCACCTCAAATCCCGATAGCAAACGACGCTCGTCAGCACGGGCGAGACGACTTCCGGCTCCTCCGTGTCTCGCTTCTCCGCACTGGGCTCCATCGCAAAGCTCACGTCTACACCGACAGCCTGGCACACGCATGCACCTCCGATTAGCACGGTTGGCTACGTACGGTGCGGAAGAAGTTCAACATATGTGCACACGACACGACAGGTGCTTCACGGTGGACGGTAAAGATCCCCTCACGTCATTCGCAAGAGCAGGCCATTGTGCGCCGGCTTCGGGGTTAACCTTTTCCCAATTCGGAAATTACACCGCAAATTACTCAATTGGGATTAAACATGCAGCAGCAGCGGCGGCGGCCTCCCCCTCCTGGCACCCTAATGCCCCATTTGCATGTCACGTGCTGAGTTACCTTGTACCGCTCAGGGACGGCTGCTACTGGGGGTGCCCGAGGCTAGATCACACAGTTGCAATCATCGCCCCTTACTGGCAGAATTATGCCCCAGGTCACTCTAGCGAATGAGACTATCCCGTTCTCTTGAGTTATCTGCTGGTTCAACAAAAGAAACTTGAAACTTGACGGGTGCTACAGCCGAGTGCTTGTTAAAGCTGCCACGCCACAATAAGACCGGTTGGTGTAACCAACACCGTCATTATATGACGTTTAGTTCTAAGTGGCTGGATGGCTTAGGCTGCAGGTGTTATGTCTGAGCCTTTTCCGACATAACGTCTACAAAATCCTAGGCTCTTGCAAAAAAAAAAAACAGCTATTATTTATCACACAAACTCAAAGGTGTGCAATAAAATTTTCTCTTTGCATTAATAAACGCGTAAAAATTAAAATGTCAAACGTAACTCGGATTTGCCCAGTACGCAGCATATCTGGAGCTCTAAGAGACTCAAAAGAGAGATAAAGATCAAATATCCCCCGTATAGCCTTTAACAGACTGTTGGAGCAAGTGCTGTTAGCGAGCACCTATGAAGGCTGGTACAGCACATGAGGGGGTGGATGGCCAACACCACACCCGGCCGCCTTTATCTCCCTAGTGGCGATGTTTACACACTATACTGTGTACTAATTTGAGGCCAAATTGATCTAGGGGAGGCCCAGGACCGGTTCAGATAATCGTCACTGGTGTTGGCCATGAGCAGGAATACAAATTTGGGTTAGCACGGTTGTCTACGTACGGTGCGAAAGAAGTTCAACATACATACGGGTCGCCGGGTTCGTAGTGCAGCGCGCTCACCGTTATATTACCGCTCAAAAAACAGAGAAAGGAGAGGCACACGCACCTCATGTCCCCCTTTACCCTCACTCTTTGGCGACTGCACAAGTCGCTGGGAAGACCCAGAGAAGCCGTGCTCCACGCCAAACAGCCTGCCCAGGCCACCGCGATTGTCCACTTTGGCTGTGCGCGACAGAGGCAGAGCATCCTCCGTTTAGCATTCAGCCGCATGTGGGCACTGCTGTTGGACAAACAGATGGTGAGTCGGGCATTGGAATTTGGTGTGGCCGGAGCGAAACGCACCCTGCCAACTTTTCTTTCACCCGTGTGACGGTGACCATGGCCGCACCGTTTTTTTGGGATCAGCAAACCTAAGGGACACCTAGGCCATGTTCCGTCATTCAACTGTCATGGGTGGCTAGGAATCAAAGTTAAGTTAAAACTTGCCCAGGTGTCCAGCTCATTATTATGTCACGAGTTTAAATTCCTGGTCGACAGGTCAAATGGACCAAATAAGTCCATCATCTCTTTTTCTTCGGGTCCTCCGGTTTTTCCCTCCACATTTAGAATCAACACGCGTTCATCGATTGTTTCGCTGCTATAAATGTCCACGTGATAAGCCACTTCGTTGAGCTATCATTTGTGATAGCCAGGCCGCTTCTGAAAAACAGCTAATAGCTCAGTGGGCTTTACCTGGTAAAATAAAATATTTTGTTGTTGTTGTTTTTAGAGTAGTGGGTGTTTGGGTGTCGGGTCGGAGAAAGACGGAAGGGGGTCACCGGTGAGCGAGGGGGCTGGATCCGGAGGGGATGGAGAGGGCTCGTACACGCTGGCCTTGTGAGCACCGCGCGCGCCCTTCAGCGCTGGAGTTTGCACCGGCGGATTGGAATCTGCGAGCGCAGGCATCGGGAGCGAGGTGAACCAACGAGTTTGGGAGTTCAAGAAAAGAGCGCATGGCAGCAGGTGTATTGCTTCACTAATCTGGAAAATCGCCCGATGATGCTGGTTGATGTAATTACCAGGAAAACGTCGCGGTATTCAAATTGTAAATGTTGTGGTTTTACTCTCCAACACACCGGTGGGCTGAAGTAGTACACTAAACTACACACTACACTATACACTACACTATACACTACACCATACACTACACTATACACTACACTATACACTACACTATACACTACACCATACACTACAGTATACACTACACTATACACTACATTATACACTACTATACACTACACTATACACTATATACTACACTATACACTACACTACACACTACACTACACTACACACTACACTACACACTACACTACAATACACACTACACTATATACTACACTATACTAGTAACTAATTGGCGTTTTGCTTACGTAAAAAATCCCTTACTAATTGGCTGTGTCGGGTGGTGGAGGGTTACGACACATTTATACTTACACGATCTAACCCTAAAACCCTTTATTATGAATAATATTGATCGCGAAAGCCTACGTGTTAAACAGTGCTATATAATATAATATTGTATTAAATAATTTAATATCACTGACCATTGACTTCAATAGGTGAGAACCCATCACAAGGGAAATCTAGGAACAAGGTTAGGCGACTAAGCATTTCTAAAAGTGAGTAGGCAGCAAGTGGGCAGGAAGGCAGATAAACGTATGGATGCCAAGAATGCAGGTGGGTAGGTATGTGGACCATGGGTATGACTTGAAAAATGATAACATTTATCATAGCCTCCTAACCAAACGAGAGCTAGAATATAAGCTAGAATATGAATATGAGAGCTAGAGAATTGTATATTTTAAGAGACCTCATTGGTAGGTAAGTTGACACGCCAGTGAGCGGACAGCCAGGCAGGTGTCCACTCACAGTGCATACATTATCAGAGTTATGTTTTTTGTTTGCATTATGACTGCAGGTATTGTGGTCTATGCAAACATGACTCCTCGTAAAAAAGGTGTCAGTTTTCTTGCCAGATAGAAGGGTAAAAAAACAATTATCATACTTTTTACTGGCAAATGAGGTACCAATGGTGAGGTGTCCACTACTCAACCCGATTGACAGCGACACGAGACACAAATCTTCTCGCCAAGACAAGCCCCTTGGGGGAAATGTGATGAAGACGTATGTGTATATTTTGCCACTGGTAAAGGAGGTCTCATAGTGTAAATGCTTACCCCGAGCTCTCAATACTCTGATAGTGCGCTGTCTTTGAGTTGTACGCCTTTTGGCGTCATCTGGTCCAACACCAATGGAGACTAGGCTCTAAGAAAAGCTGTCTCGGATGTGGACCAATCAACTTCAAGGACAGTGCATATCATTATCATCATCAGAGTTGTTTATTTTTGTTTGCATTTTGACTGCTTGTGTTGTAGTTATTGCAAACATGATGCCTTGTATAAAGGTGTCAGTTCTTGTACCAGTTTAAAGGGTAAAAACCTATTACTATGTATGTGGAGGATTCACCGCCGGGCTACCTTGTACGGACTCGTAGAAGCTGCTGAAGGGAGGCGCGGAGCCAGAGCCACCCCAGTCTCTGCCTGCGCCGTCGTTGTCCCTTCCTCCATCGAGGCGGCTCACCATCTCAGGCTCGTCGAGACTAAAAACCAAAAAACCCATCGCGTACGCATGCACGCACGCATCCACGCGTGCGCTTTGCCAGCCGTGGTCGCCCTGTGCCTCGGGAGGGCTGTTCAGAGCCGTGTTGTACGTATGTCGTCATCAACATTATCGCCAGCCATGATCATTCCCCTGCTGTTTGTATGTATGTTGGAGTTATTTCGCAGCGTACGTAGCCAACCATGCTAATCGGAGATGTGGGGGAAGAATAACAAACTAACAAAAATCATCCGAGCCAAGCATCGAGCCCTACGTGTCTCTCATAGATGGGATGCCAATGTCAAAACATTGAGCAATTATAAGTATTTCGGTTCAAGCCCTGAGACTGGGCGTATCTCGGACAGATGTCTATTGTGGAGCATTAAGCCAGTGTCTATGAGACTGGGTTTGAGCCCTGGGGCTGGGTGTTTCTAAAATAACTTACGCCTATGTTAGAACCTCCGATCGATGAGCACGGTGGGCTAAATACGGTGCAAAGAAAGTTCAACATACGTACATACATAGAACAATAAGCCAATGTCTATGAGAGTGCATTTGAAATCTGGGGCTGGATGTATTTTAAATAAATTATGCCGATACTCGGGTACAAACCTATGGATCTGAATATCACCGCAGCTACCTACAGAAATAATGACGGAGTCAACTATAACTATAATTACAGAAGCTGAAATTAAAATTCCACTGTGATTGAAATTTATTACGGATGTCCCTATGACAACTGGCCCCCTGGGCTGCTCCTTTTCTTTCATATGGATTGATAACAGCAAATTAAAGATGTAATTATTTCATATTTTTGATCCACTCAATCATTTGTTAAGAAGCAGAGTGGATCTCGTCCATTTTTCCTTTAAAGCAGCAGCGGAGTGTTGATGAAGTGGGTCGATAGTTTGGGATTCATGGCCGCACTTGCAGGCTGCCGGATCTTTGACGTGCTATTTGTGCATCAGGTGGCTGCGTCGGCTATGCCCGGTCCTGATTCGGTTCATAGTCAACCATTGGCGGCATTGTAGGAGGTTTAAACCGGGAAGTTCACTGGTAGGGTCCTGTGCTAGATGTTTATTTTTGATGTCGGCCACAGTACAGACTTGCTTCCATCTGATCTGCTGCATGGTGATGGACACGTGTGAAATAACAAAGAGTACCCGCACCTCTCGGAGGCCTTGGCCGGCTTGCGCTGGTTTTCCGCTGCCGGTCTCTCGGCCTTGCCCAGGCTGCGTGCGGTTGAGTGGCGCGAGGCCGCACGGCTCGGAGGCTCAGTGGGGGGCTCGGAGCCCTGAGGGGGGGCTTGCCGCTGTGCGGGAGAAACGGCAGGATGGGGGGGCGACGACGCTGCCGGCTCCTCCTCGCTCTCCCACGTGCTGCTGCCTCCCTCGCTCGCCTGAGCACGTGGGGAGCAGGAGGTTGTGTGTCAAGACAGGAGTGCGGATACACGGCTCGACAGTGAGTGTACAGCCTTCCTTTGTCAATCCACTGCTGGAGGTGTATGGTCGAATAACCTCTCCGCAGCTATGCTCATCATATAATTTGCAATCAAAGGCAGGAAAAGAAATACCTGAATCAAGGAGAAAATACAAACCAGAGACAGCGTAATGTTAAGAAATAAAAGTGGGCTTGAACAAAACAGATCACTAGAAGAGATTATAATACTGATTGACAAGACTGGTGATGTAAAGATAGCCAAAGTTAAACGAAAACACAATCCAAAGCATGCCCACTAGAGACATGGAGGGGAATTGAGGTATGGTGATGGCGTGGGGAGGCCTTTGTTTAGTATTAGAAAGGATAGATCATTACTGTTGATGAAGGGGAAGACAGGACGGAATGCAGCTCGTGGGCAGGTGCAAGGTAGATTGTTCTATCGCATAATCATGACAGATGGGGATGGCCTGGTGAAGCATTCATCCAGCAGTGGATTGATCACAGCTAACTATGATGGTGAATGATCCTTATGAATGAGACTTAAACATTCCAGTGTCTTAAGACGTTTTGTTCAGGGTAGGTCCTGTTTGCTTGAAACCTTAACACAAACAGATCCCACTACCTTTTCAAGTTCTTCATAATAAAGGTTTTTGGGTTGGATCGCGTAAGTATAAATATGTCGTAACCCTCCACCAGCCGACACCTCCAGTGAGGTTTGTCATGTAAACAACGCGCCAATTAGTTACTACTTCAGCCCACCGGTGTGTCAGAGAGGAAATCCACAACACATACAATTTGAGTACGACGCTTTGCTGGTAATTACATCCAGCATCATCGGGCGATTTGCCAGAATGGTGAAGCAATCCACCTGCTTACGGTCTTAAATAGAGCAAGATGACGTCATCACTGGACTCATCAGGTGCAGAGATCAGAGATTCCTCTATAAGGAATAGAGTTGGAAGATGTATATCTATAAAAGAGAAATTTGCTAATGTGTGTCTGTTCGAAATGTTTAGCATACTTCCCGACATGCAACAAACTGGCATGTGGGTAGCTTCTATACTGTACACAATGCAAAAAGTATAAAAAATATACTTTTATATTTTTTTTTTTGGGGGGGGGGCGCAATAATGGATATATTTTGCACGGCAAGTGAGCGGTGACGTCACATCTGTGATGTCACCCGCATGCGGAAGCGTCACGCAGTGTGTGCCTGCTGACGTCACGCATCCCCGTGTATTAATCCAAGACAAGAATCCAAGTCCCGGGCGAAGCCAGGTAGTAAAGCTCGTCTATCTTCTATCTATATCAGGGGTCGGCAACATGCGGCTCCGGAGCCGCATGCGGCTCTTTACGGGCTGCTTCTTGACGATATGTACGTATGTACAGTATGTACTCAGATGCATTGCGGCTCTTGAAATACTGAATTTTGTACCGAATTGGAAAGAAATGGCTCTTCTTGTTATTTTGGTTGCCGACCCCTGATCTATATAAACGCCTAACGTTATCTGTGATGAACGCTGCACTTCCCGTCGTTTTAATGCAGGGGGCGCGTAGGTTTGAACGACGGAGGCGCACGGACAGACATTCGATTACGTTGGAATCGATCTGCAGAACGAGGCAATTCGGTGTTGATTCCCATAATCGATTACCAGGATCGACTTGGCCCCCACCGACACGACTTTTCCATTTGTTTTGCAATGACGACAATTTCCCATTCTCCCCGCATACGCTATCACTTTCAACATGTCGCAGGGACAGACGTTCGATTACGTTGGTTAGCGCACTACTTTATCTATCTTTATATGATTAATAATATACTAATATAAGATTAAACTTCTAAACATTGCGGGGATGCTCTTGTGCGGATGCGTATTATTACGCTTCCAGGCCGCACTAAGCCTGTAGCTGTCAGAGCGGTTAAAATTAATTGTATTTATCTCAATTTCAATAGATTCTCCAATTAGTCTCGGCCAGTCATTCGTTTTACACAACACTTCAACGTTATCAAAATCAATTGAGTGTCCTTGTTGGCAACCATGTTCTGTAACTGCCGACTAGTTGTGTTTAAGTGTATTTTATATTTCTTTGGTGTTCTGTTCAAGCACTTCCCCTGTTCTGATTGTGACTGCCTCTTGCTACCTCAGCATCCACAAATCCTCTCCCTCACCACCCATGATCACCTTCGCTCCTCACATGTCATCGCCACTTTGAACAGCCCCATGAGAGGTGGTTTTTACATGGATGCTTTAGTCTCTGGCCAATTCATCTCATCAGATCTCAGAAGTCAAGACAATTTGAGCCTGGATAGTGCTTTGGTGGGTGGCCAGCATGTTGTCATAAGTAGCTGTGAGGCTGTGTTAAGTGATGAACTATTCGGCGCTGCACAAGGCCGTAATTATAATATATATTGGGGGGGACACACCCCCCCCAAAATATGCTCAAAATGTCCCCCCCCCCCAATATATTGCTATAAAATTTGTATTGCGATGCTATGTTAATAAAAACAACAATTTGCTAAACCTTGGCCACAATATCTGGACTTGTCTTCATATAAAGCAATGCATAGATTTCTGTTCATATGATTGTGGTTATGGTTGTACTTTATTAAACCCTAATCTCTGCCATTACATACAATGAAACAAGAAATAGTAAAAAAAAGTAAAAACAGAGCAATGTAATACAATACACTATTAGACATTGCAAAAAAAATCCATCCCTTGTGTTAGTGAGTTTTATATTTTAGGCAGGAAATTAGTTTTCAAATGTAGATATTTTTCTGGGTTGGGACCCCCAGACACCCTGGAAGATTTGGTCCCCCCCAATGTTGACTCCATGGCTACGGCCTTGCTGCACAAAGCAGCAAAATCCATTTTCACAGTTGTACATCTATGGTCACACGTACTTTGTAGGTGTGCTCCACGCTTCGCAAACATGCACTGACAAGCGTGGTGATGCATGGCCAAATAACCCTCGGAGCGTGGGAGAGAGGCCCTCATCCAGCAACGAACTGACAAAAGGTACCGTACATGCACATATTTACAGAGACACCGCATGAACACAAATCCTCGTGCATTGTGTAACACTGTATTCACAATCAGCAACACGGACCGTGAGGGTCTGTCGGGCTGTTTAAACAGTTTCGCACCTTGGATCTCTTCTTGTCTTTGGCGGCTTTCTTCACGGGATCCCGTTCGCTCGGAAGAGGGCTGTCCCAGGGGCTGCTGTCTTCTCCGCTGTCCTGTCGTGTCAGACCGCGTCTCCTTCATTATTTGAGCAGCGATAATTAAAGCACGGCACCCACCTCTCAGATATTTCCAAGTTCAAGTTTACGGGTTTCCTTCGCTCTACACAGGGGTTTGGTTTGTGCGATGTCGCGCTGTCTATGCGGTTAACCTAATTTGACCCAGAAAATTTGCTTTATTATGCGGTTTAATTTTACTCAAGAGGCAGCATTGTGTGTGTAGTGTGTGTACTACTCGTAGGGCAGCTGTCTTGTGCGGTGCATTGTGGGTTGGGTAACTGTGCAGCCGATGCAACGCGATTTCGCTTTGTGCGCCCTTTTTTTTGGAACGCATCTACCGCATCAAGCGAGGGACACCTGTGCTTTGTTTCGGGTCACCAAGAAGACAAATCAAAACAAATACAACGATGAGTTAATAGAAATGAGAACGAAAATAATGACAGCACACGAGGGATCGAAAATATAAATCAATTTTAAACCAAAGTTAAACAGTAGGTTGTTAAAATATTACTTTGCAATACCTGATGGAAACTGGGAAAAGCGGTTACCAGTTTGTTGCATGTCTAGTAATGTCTAGAATAATAAACGTGCAACTTTGACTTACAGTATTTAAAGGAGAAACGAAGACAAGTGCCATGGTGCAAATGGTAAGCAAACTGCTGGACATTTAACCTACAGCTTGCCAGTTCGATGTCATCTCCTGTCGTGGCAGTAGCAGAAAAATAAATGTCAACAAATGTGACTGACAGCTCAGGTACACGTTGATGATTTACATGAGACAGAAGGACCACAATTCACTTCTTCAGCAAATGCTGATTTTTTTTGCATATCCACAAAGCCTGTGTGCTTCTTTTTTTTACACATTTTTGCCTGTTGGTTGCATAACATTTTCTATGTCTATGAGTACAGCATAAATGTGATAATGGAGCTTTGTTTGGCAGATTTGTGCCAGGAAGGCACCACGTAAACTTGCAGTGACAACCAAGAAGCCTATTTAGTGCGATGGAGCAAAACTATCACTAACTTTTTTAAAATATAGTCAACATTACGAATTAGTTTTGACGCTTCGCTTTGAAACTGCAACACGCATCTTGAGGTCAGATACCAGGAAGTTAGAATAACCATGGCAGCTGATCCCAGCAAAACTGTACAATTGTGTATATTATTCGGTGCTGTTGTATGGGTAATTAAATGACACAATTATCTTGCACTTGCCAACAGGAAGCCACCATAATTTGCCTAACAGGCCACACTCAAATCACCCGAGCCAGCTCAGCAACCTTTGTTCTGCCACCCGATTGCTTCACGTTCTGCTGAAAAGGCTGATGAATGCTTGCTGTGCACTTGTTTTATAACTTCACTTACATGGAGAGACATAAAACCCCATTCAGTGCATTACGATGCACTGGTTTGTGGCATAATGAATATTATTGCCTGATAAGGGTAAATACTCTGTATGGGTGATTAATCATTCTAAGAAAAATGTTAACCGTCTAGGATACAAAGCCTGTAGTCACGTTTGTTGTATTTATTGACACTGATCCAAGGTTGAACTATTCACTTGCAGCACCAGTTACAAATTCAAAACAATCGGGGTCATTGTAGAGAATATAAATAACAAAACATAAAGGCAGACAGAATAAGTCTGCTTCATAAATCTGTCCCTCCACATAATGTACGATTTCCCCATCAATCACAAGGCCTTCTGCTACGTAATTTCAGCGACATTAGTTGGTTCATTGCACGCAAAACTCGGGATGAGTTTCGACGCACGGTGTCTCATCAGCAGTCAGGCTTGCTTGAACCAATAATGCTGGCCAACTTCCACTTAATCTTGATTTGAAGCTTTCGTGACTGCAGGAATCCATACTCTTTGGTTCTTTCGGTAAAGTCACGTAGGTAGAAATACAATTAAACAAATCACGACGTTTCGATCGCAACACAAGCGGTCATCAGGCAAAGATGATGTTTTATTTTATTTCTAACTACGTGATTTTACCGAAAGAACCAAAGAGCATATAACTTCCACTTACAATTTTTATCAATGTCCTTAAAAATAGCCATCCTTTGTAAAATGTAACGTTGCAGCTCTGTAATTACTCGGAGTAAGGGCCTCTACCACAGAGGGAGTCCTCCAAAGGGTATCTTGGCCAACTCTTTCACGATGGCCAGGCGTCTTTGGGCGTACCCACACTTTACCCCACCACACAGGACCTGCTTGCTGATCGAATGTGGTGGTGGTGTACCCAATTATACTGATGTGTGGACAGAGGCAATACGTCTGTACTCTTAGTTCTTTCGGTAAAGTCACGTAGGTAAAAAATTAAATTAAAATTAATAAAAATAAAACAATAAAAATCACAATCTTAGTTATTGTTTTATTTTTATAATTTTTATTTAATTTTTTACCTACTTGGTGACTTTACCGAAAGAATTAAGAGTATGAATCCTTGCAGTCACGAAAGCTTCAAATCTAGAAGCAATACGTCTGGCCAGCGTGCGACGATACTCTCTTCCGCCGGCAGTGGCGTAAGCGAGCAGTTTCAGAGCTGCACCTTTACAATGTCACCTGTAACATCACCACGAGTGAACCACAAACCCGTGAATCGCCATCTGCTGCGCAAGGGGCAGCTTTCACGTAGCTGAACGTCAACGACAGCGTGCATACGTATCAGTCAATTCGCTTGCTTTGTATTTATAACATTGCAACAACACAAATAAACCCCGTGTGTATGCGCCCGAGCGACAGGTGTAGTGTCGGTGTTGTGGGCAGTGCAGCTAAATCCACTGCTGCCCTGTACCCACATCCCCGCACTGACCAGCGTGGTGAAGTATGGTCAATAATTGTCGCGACTCGGGTCACGCACAGCGTGAGGGAAGGACCCCTAATCCAGCAGTGGATTTGACAAGACAAGACTCTACATGTACGGACAGTACTGTACGTGTAACAATATAACCTTACATTGTTCATTGTTAAAGGGTTACGTTACATACACAGCGTTAAAGGGGTTTAAACCACGGGCCATTGCATTTCATAGCCAACACGCGCGCGAGCACGAAATCCCCGCAATCCCATTGGTCTGCACCCGGTTTAAAGGGCTCCGGCCAGCCAATCAGCGCGCGAGTACGCGAGCGCCGCGCCGACGTGAACTGCGAAATCTAAAGTAACGGTCGGCAGAGGCTTGCGCGGTTCGATTTTAAACGAGAATATAAAATTCGCGTACCATTGGTGAGACAGCGACACTCGACGCAGCAGGCAAACGCGCACACACACAAACAAGAGGTGGGGAAATCTCTGCCGCGCTGCGTTATTAGATCGTTAAACCGCCGCCGGACTTTTTGCGAATCGATTTAAGAACTCCCAAGGCGATGGCTGGGACTCCTCCAAGCCGTTACCACGGCAACGCCGGAGACGGCCGTGCGCGGTGACGTAACGACCGAGGGGGGGGCGGGAGGAAGTGCGTGCGTGATGACGTCACGAGACGGGGATGGTGTCTGCGCGCGCTTTGCGTCGTGACGTCACTGGCGGGCGGATACGTCATCACGTTCGCGGCGAGGCCCTAGAGTGAATTGATGGTGGTGCTTGCGACAATTTAGACTGGGCACGTTCCGTTCGCCAACAACAGCACCGTGTGTCGTGGCCTTGAAGGGAAAGAAATGTACAATAGGCGACATATGGGGCAATGTCTCCCCATTCGTAGCAGATGCCTTGTGAACGTGACTGACGCGCTGCGGAGAAGGGCAGTGACCCGAAACGTCGCCTATTATTTAACTTTCCTTCTCAGGCACGAGGGGATAGAAAGCTTCGGTAGCAATGCATCAGTTGATTATCACCATCGGCCATGGTCAATCCACTGCTGGATTAAGATGTTAACTACCTCGCCTGGTATACAGGAGGTCGTGGGTTCAATCCCCACCCTGACGCCTGTTGTATACTTGGAGTCTGCGTGTCTCATCATCATCACGGTGGCTAGGAGATGTTAACTACCTCGCCTGGTATACAGGAGGTCGTGGGTTCAATCCCGACCCTGACGCCTGTTGTATACTTGGAGTCTGCGTGTCTCATCATCATCACGGTGGCTAGGAGATGTTAACTACCTCGCCTGGTACGCAGGAGGTCGTGGGTTCAATCCCGACCCTGATGACACATGCCGCTGTATATTTGGAGTTTGTGTGCGTATCTCTCCTTGTGGTCGCGTGTCCTCCGGTTATTCCCTCCACATTTAAAATCAACATCACGCGTTTAGAGTATTTGGCTATTGATATAAATTTCCACACGATGATGGTGATGATAAGCCCACTTCGTTGTTAAGCTATCATTTGTGATAGCCAGGTCGCTTTAAAAAAAATATGAACATGGCTCAGTGGGCCTTACCCCTCAAATATATTCAAGGAACAGGAGGATTTCTCCACGAATATGGCTGTCGCCTGATGAAGCTAGTTGTGATTACTGGTGAAACGTCGTACTCATTGTAAATGTTGTGGCTTTGCTCTCCAACACACTGGTGTGCTGTACTAGTAACGAATTGGCACGTTCGATTTACGTGACAAACCTTACTAGTTGGCTGTGTCGGGTGGTTTAATGACACATTTACGATCTAACCCCAAAAACCTCTTATGGATGCTATTGGTCGCGAAAGCCTACGTGTTAAACCAAAAAATATATATAGTGAAGGCAGCCCAGGCCAGTTTGGATATAGCAGTTAAAACTAGGTGCGGTTGGTCGGTTTATGACTTTATTTTTACCCATTATTTATGGAAACCCAAACATATCCTGCTTCCCATAGGTGCGAAACCCCCCAAACAAGCCTAAGGTTTTGGTGGAGGCTTTCGTTCAGCAGTGGATAGATCATGGCTAATGATGAAATACTCTTGACAAAAATGTAGGACGATTTTGTTTATGTCAACTGAATAAATGACTCGCATATTAAGAAAGAATTGGGTTTGTAAAATAAAAATAGCTTTATAGTTCCGGATTCCTCCAGTATAAATACACATTCAATTATGGGCATTGCTATTAGCTCTGGATATCAAAATGGTTTGAACTAGCTGGCAGGCCAGACCATTAAGTGAGCCTTAATTTTGTGTGACAGATACATGCATCCTCATATCAGTTTATAACAGCTGCATGCTTATCGCATTGTGACACAACAATCTGTTTTGTCTATTACATTGTAGATATATTTTTAAAAATCAGGAATTACCAAGGCAAAGTTGTGCTGCTCACAAACAAGCAGGAAAGCACGAATCCCATACATATGCCTCGCGCGAATGTCAAGCGAGCACCGCCCCAGTAAACATGGGAACACACCGTGTCAACCCATATACAGTTTACCTGTATTCGTGTAGAGGGAAATTGAGTTTCCAGGTCCATACGGCGTGCATCCGTTTCAATACGGGCAACAACAAAAATCATATGTTCTAGATTTGAAGTTGTAGTGACTGCAAGGGTCCATACTCTTTGGTTTTTCGGTAAAGTCACGTCGGTAAAACATTAAATAAAAATAAATTAAATCACGACGTTTCGGAGGCAACACAAGCTTCCGTCTTCAGGTGGAACCGTCACAGCAAAATTACTGTTTCATACGGCCAAAAAAAATGGTTTAACCCTTCATAATTTTCTGTGTTTATTGCTTTTACATTTAGAACATGAGTGTGCATCCATATATCAAGCAAACAGCAGCATGAGCATGCGAGATCATAGACAGCGTCATAAGTAGCATCATTGACACCAATTGTTAAAATTAATACAGAAAACAGTTTTTGTTTAGAATTTTTTTTTGCCTATCTGTTCGTGTTTCTCTCTCGTGATGGGACTTTGTAGGATGAACGTTGAGATTTACAAGGGCACGGGGTGACCAATAAGGTCTGAATTGGTCTGTAATAAGGTAGGGCACTGGGGTTGACAGGTATGTGGAACGTTGGGCCAACGCTGGCATGTTTTACTGGAACACTACCTCCACAATTTTTTTTCTCAGCCTCACCTGTACATGCCCATGCGGTGGTCACATGACATTCATGCAAAGTATATGGATGGGAATTTGTGCCTTCCTACTGATTGCTGAGCAGCACACCTCTCTCTGTGTGTTGCTAAATTACTTTAATGTATGTTTCCATTTTAGGGCGTATTTTCCAGTTGCTTTGTTGGGTTTCCCCGTAATTTACAGAACGTTTTGGATTGAAAGACCAACCAAACGTATTATGGTGGCACTGGCACTGGTAATGTTTGTAGAAATATATTTAGAGGTTGCTTTAGGGGTGGTTGTAGTTTTCATGAAAACGCCGACCATTTCCTTGCACAGGCGTTGGGGCAGACTAATATTTACCAGACATAGTATACTGGCTCTCTTAAAAGTGGACTTTATACGACATGTCTCAAGCCTCAATGGCCTGTTGTCCGGCTGGTAAAGCCCATTGTCATTCAATCATGCATATGACACAGAAATAAGCCAAACCTCTTTTCTTTAGAACTGCTTTCTTTATGTGTTTAGGTTGTTGTCCTCCCCCCACACCTCCGATTATCACGGTTGTATGTGTGTATGTTGAACTTCTATCGCACCGTACGTAGCCAACCGTGCTAACCCGAGGTGCGGGTTGACTACATATGGTGCGAAAGAAGTTCAACATCCAGGGAATGGCGAAACTGCCACTCAAGAGTCAGCGCCAGTAAAGCTCGACAGAGACTCGGTCCATCTTATCTTCATACGCCATACGGTATATATAAAAGGCATAGTTGTGATTATGTGTGTCTGTTCAAAATGTTTAGCGTACTTCCCGACATGCAACAAACTTGAAATTTGCCATGTGGGTACTTTCCAGACTGTACACCATACAAAAATTATAAAAATACACTTTTTTTGGGGGGGGGAGCTCAATAATGCATATATTTTTTGCACGGCAAGTGAGCTGTGAGGTCAAATCTGTCACGTGACCCGCGCATGTGGAAGCGTAACGCATTGTAGTGTAGTGGGTAGCGCGCTGCGCTACGAACCCCCCGCTCACGGCCACCACCGGTGAAGATTATTTGAACCGGTCCTGAGCCTCCCCTAGGTCGACTCAGCCTCAAACGAGTAACTGGTGTGGTGTGTCAACATCGCCATTGGGGAGACAAAGGCGGCCGGCCGTGGTGAATCCAAGTCCCGGGCGAAGCCGGGTAATACAGCTAGTTTTATATAACTTTATTATGTAGCGCCTTATCCCGAGGATCTTTGTAACAATTAGAGATCTATACATAAGATAGTAGTATGAACAGTAGTGGTGTAATTTTCGATTTAAAGCTTTCGTCACTGCAGGGATTTATCTTCTTGGTTTTTTCGGTAAAGTTACGTAGAAGGGAAATAATAAAATAATCTACGTGACTTTACCGAAAGAACCAAGAAGATGAGTAGTGGTGTAGTTATGGTTACAGCAGAAGAGGTGGGGGTAGTTATTGGGGTTGGTATAAGCCCGGTTGGTCATAGCTGTGAAGTGCGGGCAGGAGTAGTAGCAGTGGCAGGATGGGCTAGGGGAGACGAGATGGGGTTTTCCGGAGAAACGGAAGCAGGTGAGTGAAGATGATTGTTTTCACGTCAATAAATCTTAGATTGTCTTCTTTACAGAAACAGCAACAAAAACACATTTTTAAAATCCTTTATATTAAGTTCACGTGCTTGCTTGCTTAGGACCGTGCAAATCTTTCGGTCGTTTTTTAACCCACTTCCCGTGATCCAATCGAGTTGACATTTTCCACACAAACTCGTTGTGCGTGACAATTAATGTTCGTGAAAATTTTTTTCCAAAATTTTTAGGACAAAAATATTATATTTAATTACCAATTGCTTAATGCTGCCATGCAATCATCTGACCCATAGGTGGCAGCCATCTCAAGCCAGAGGACGAGAGGACTCTAGCCGCCACGCATATAAAGGATTTATAGTAAAAAACTTTGTTTTTACAGGTTATACTTGTAAACGATTAGTATCAAGCTTTATCCGACAGCCACAGAATCGGAATTGTTCCGAACACACACAAACACAGACACAAACAGACAACAACAACAACCGCCATTCGTCACTAAGTGGTGGTGACGTCACCACGATGCTTGTGCCAGGCTATGTGCACCTTGAGGCCACGTGAAGTGTCGAATGCCCGCTGGCAGGAGGTCACGGGGCAGACCCAGCAGGTGCCATGTGTCGACTGACTGAGATGACTAGCCGATGCACCACCTGTACCCCCTACTATGCCAATGCAAGAAACACACACAAGCCCTTCCTGGCGTCTTAAATCTCTGCTCAACCGCCGGGTGTGTGCGTGCGTATCCACGCGCCTAGAGATTATCGCATTGCGTCAATGCCTTTTTTGTTCAAAAAGGCTTAGCGTATCATCGACGTGTGATCTGCAGGGCTTAAAC